GCATACCATGAATCTGAAATTGCAATAAAATCTAATAATTAAAAAATCACAATAAATCAATGTAAGTAACTGTGACTTCAAGACTAGTTCTAGTCAATGCACAACATGTTCAAGATTCAGTGTACAATCCTACTTGGTAAAATTCACTATAGTTTTCTTGAAGAAGTGTTCAAAGTGAAGTCATATAAAATGCTTTCAAAGTGATATAACTTTACTTCTGTTTAGAAATTAGAAAATCTGAAAGCTACAGTCACTGTAGCCTTCCATGGTCTAACTAAATCCAAAATTACAGGGCTTAGTTATTTATAGAGCCTTCAGAAAAGTGCTCAGTGTTGAAATCCATTGATTTAGGCATACAATCATGTTTTCAAATAAAAATGACTTCTGGGGTTTTCTTACACGCTTACTTTCGAATTTCTTAGTACAGCAAGCCTGTGAGGTTTGTGAATAAATGAAAGTCCGCTTCAGCTTCTTTACAAGCGACACCCACATAGTACTATAGCCACAGCATTAGTGACGTCACGATATAAATTCATGTATATTGCACTTCCTGTTTCATACTCATGTGTGTTTGTTGTATCTATGGTTACATGTCTATACTCTAATATGTATGGTCTTAAGCTAGGCAGAATTCTTATGTTGCAACCGGAAGTGCTGTATAACGCAATGGTAAAATGCAAGAATAGAATTGGTTCTATTTTTACGTTTGCCCACTGCGTTATACAGCACTTCCGGTCGCAACACACAAATTCTGAACCCAGCTTTAGCATAGGCATAGGATTGGGGGGGCTGAAGCCCCCCAACTTTTTAGCAAGAGGGGCTTAGCCCCCCCCCCAATGTTCACATGCTAAGTCATGCTTTTTAATGTTGAGCCCCCCGACTTTTGAATCATTCCTATGCCTATGTATAGTCTCGTGGCGCCAGACCAGCCCTCTGTACCTGCGGGGTGCAGGTACGATGGGCATGGTCTTGTGCCGCGAGACTATACATGTCTCAGGTGGTGCATTGTTTAGATAAGTTAAAAATAAATCCAAACACTTTTATTTAAGCAATATTATAAAGTGTTGCTGATTCTGCTAGCTGTGTATGTAGTTTAAATTTTTAAGTAACAATTAATTTGACTAAATATACTATATTATTGGTGCATAGTTACAAAATAGTAATTATACTAACACAGCTCATATATCAGACTCAGCCTAAATCACATTCACATGTAAGTTCATTCAACTAAATCTCTAAGACTTTTACTGTACTCTTTAAGTTCATCAAGGGCCTGTGTCAACTCAATCTTTTCTTGTTGCATGATTACTAGTGATGCCTGGGCCTATGTACATATACAAAACATTATAGTTATTTTCTAATAAAATTATTTACTCACTTCTTCCAAATCTTGATTTAGTTTTGATCCCCACTTACTATTATATTCAGCCTTCAGTGATTTATTGTAATCAATCAGTGTACATTTCACAGCCTGTATAATAGATAAAGCATTAAATATAATATTCACTATACTTTCTCCAATTTGCGTTTCATCTTGTTTGTAATCTCAGAGTTCAATCTGTCACATAGTTTTTTAACTTCTTCTTCACTAGCATAATTCTTATTAATCATTATTTTAATTAATATCTATTATATATAATACCTCAGTTTCATATTCTGATCTTTGATCTTTAATCCTTTCATTACAAAATAAGTGGCTCCACTCAACCCAGCAATAATTGCACCTGATGAGATTATAGCTGGTACTACTGCAACTACAGCTGGTAAAGCCATAACAGCCAAATAGCCTGAAAATCCAGCACCTGTACCCACTACTACACCCACTCCTGCACTAATTAGTCCCCGGAAATAATTCCACCATTTTTTATCTTTAGTTCTATCACTATTTGATACATGAATAATGTGTATACTGTATATCATATAGCAGATATATTTCGTCTGGAACAATGTTCATTCTAAGCAGGGTTAGAATTTTTGTTCGTTTTATTTTCAATCTGACCAGCCATTTTGCACATGTGGCATTGAGAAAATGCCTTTTCGTTTGGAAAATATTTGTTCCACAAGAAATAAGAACGAAATTAAATTCTGACGGAATATATCCACTATACGGTAGCTGGAAATATTTGTGGGGATTTAATATTGGTGGATTGGCACTAAGTGCGATGAGCTAATTAACTGCCAATATAGAACCTGCCATTTTGTTCTATTTTGAGCATGCTCAATGACACATGGCTGCTAAATTGCCTATATAAAATCTGCCAATTGCATATTTTAACAAATCACCAAATATTACTCTTGCCAATATTTCCAGCTGTACGGTGTATATACATGGATTGCATTTGTTGTTTTTTATATATTTCATGAGATATAGCAAGAGTACATAATACTTTTGGCTATAGGCAAGTAAAAATATGAGGGCGATATCTATCAATATTACACTCTGAGCCAGGTTTATTTGATGCTAGGCAGATAAGACTATATACACATAGACCAGGATGATCATCATGCACTCCTGGATCAAATTTAAAACACAGCTAGCTATATCATCTGCCATATTCATGCATTAGTAAACATATGCACATAAATAGTGCTGAATAATTATGAATGTAGGTTAAATCATATATCTTTATGTTGAATATGCAGAATCACAAAGCCTATAGTAAATATACTATTACTTTCACCTGACAAAACCCTTTATACTTTTAGAAGGTTCACCAACAGAATGACTATCAACTTCTTGAATTTCAGCTAAATTCAAAGTTCAGCATGAAATATTATTTTAATGAGTCACATACCTTCTACCATAAAAGTTATACTTTGAGGATCATGTCCTAGTATGTGCCTTACCAACATATTATACTTTTCCCGAAGCTTGCATTCTAAAGCTTCTATGCATCTTTTTGTTTCATCATCCAACTCTTGCTTAATTAGATCAGAAAGATCTTGTTTACTAAACACATCCCAGTCTACATTTTGAAGTACATGTAATTATAAATACTACATGATTACTGTAACACTGTAATGTAGCACCTTCCAAATATTGTCCAAATGTATAATTGTTATTCACACTGTCTATACAGCTGCTACGAAACGTTCTCATTCCTTCTTTGATTTTTGGAGATACTCTTCTTGAAAAACTCTGCATATGCATGATAAATGAAGTTTTATTATAAACAAAATATTAACTCACAAATAAAATGTGTGATATATTTTCTTCCAATTCTTCTAAAACATATTTTTGAACTCCTTCTTCCAAATTCTTTAAACAGTCAATTTTAACTTTTATTTCTTCTATATTTTTCAAGCTGTCTATATACATGTCATATTTATTAGTTCAATCATTTTACTTGATTACAATGCTTACCAAATATTTTAGACTCAATGATATGCAAAACACAATCTCCTACTTGAATACGACCTTCCAAAAATTCTAGACATTGTCTGTACATTAAGATATTCCACTGCTGAAAATTTGTTGCATTAATGGAACGTTTTAACCTATGCATACAATAAAGATTTAATATAGAAGTCTAATATAACATCATTCACTATACATGTACTTACTTTTTCTCTAATTCTTTAAAGGCTGAAATATTCAAAATGCATGAAGCTTTATTACTTATTCTATCAAAAATTTTTGATTTGGGTATCCAGTTATAAGCCTCTTCAACAACATGAGAAATCTGATCTCTTTCCTGATACCTCAGTGTAAGGTGTGCATGTAGAGCCCATAAACCACAAACAGGAAATACTTCTTCATGATTAACCAGTTCGATATCACATTCAACTTTAGCTTTAGTACCCTCTTCATTAGGATTTTGCTCGTCCTCACTTGATGTGTAATATTTGTCAAAATGACTGACAGCAAAAAATAATGATGCTATAAACATGTAAATAGAAAACTATAATGACATTATTAACACTAACAATAATAATAATAATAATAATAATAATAATAATAATGACATGGGCCCAGATCATGTATATATAGCATATAGCATCCACCATATAACTTAATGATTATAATTACCATTTTCTGGCTTGCAACCTAGCTCTTTCTTAATGTTTTCTTCATTTTGCAACAGTCTATAAATTATAAATGCTATCACATATTCACAATTTTATTGTTTTACCTTTGGTAGTTCTCAACATAAATCATAGCAGACAATATGCTGTAGTATGACTTAACATCATCATTGATAACTTCTACTCCAGGAGAGTCCACAAAATACGGTGTGCAATGGCTTGAAGAGCTCAATGAATCAAATACTGGAATATAAGTGTAGAGAACAAGGGGTTCATTCCGATTCTCATCATCTAGTTCCTGGTTTTTTTCTGTTATTCTTGCTTTAATATTCTTTACTCCATGGCACAATATGTCATGTTTTTGAATCCCTCTGACCAAATATGGGCATTCCTATGAAAATTAACTTTCTCTATGGGGCTTTATGAAGCAAAAAAGTTATTATTATTATTATTATTATTATTACTATAATACTATTATCATTATTATTATTATTATTATCATTATTATTATTATTATTATAAAAAGAAAAGAAACACTTAGGTGTAGGATAGATAGGACATATGTATAATACAGAAGATGGAAGAAAGAGAGAGATGGAATAGATACAACAACAATAGGCTAATCATCATTATTATTATTATTATTATTATTATTATTATTATTATGAAATAGAAAATAACAAATTAAAGTGATTAATGTGCTAGGTTTGAGTTCCATGCTGAAGGCCTACCAGTACATTCTACTGGTACCCAGGATAATAAATTAAATAGTAAACAAGTAACAAATGAAACTATGGTACAAATAAAAATAAGCAGACAGATAGATTAGAGTGGGTTGGCGTCTGAGTTAGGAGTATGTTACATTATGTATGTTTTACGCACTCACATCACAGTTCCCACTCTTACAAGGATCTTTATGAACTTTTGGATCATGTCCAATAAATATTCTGAAACCAGTAACTTTTCCAATTCCTGATGGTAATATTCTGTAGTCAATATTATCATTAAATGAAGTTGCATATTATATATACATACTTATCTCTTAGGAAAGCATTAATAAGAGTACTTTTACCACAACTGCCTTCCCCCACTACAGCTACCAGTAACATCTTGTTCTTGATTTGATGAAGAAATAACTGCAGTCCTTCATCATTATGAATACATGAATCTCCTCCCTGAACATGTTTCTTATTAGATTCATCAATTCTTCTTAGAGCATTTTTACGTAATTCTTGTATCTTTCTCTGAAAGGTTTGATTGCGAACAAAAGAATGGTTGTATTTTACGTGGCACTGACAAACTTACTTCCAATTCATCTACATTCAAAAAATCTAGCAAAATCAATGATATTATTTAATTCATAATACTGTAGCCTGACAATAATAATTATTTTTTGATCAGTCGACTAATCTGTAAAATGCATGCTCACCGAATTTTGATAATCCTTTGCCCATTTTGTAGAGTATCGAGTCTGGCTCGTCAGTGAGAGTACTACTATTATCTCGACTATTATAGCCTGGCTGACTCTAGTCGGAGAATTCGAGCGACAACTGATGA